TGCAGGGACCGTATCGATCCACAAAACCGAGCCAATTAGCTATTTGATGCCCCTGACGGCCATGCTCCCGTGCACGATGACCAGCCGGATGCTCCAACTGACGAGATCCAGGAGGAATTGGACCGCGAAGCACCTGCTCTCGACATTCCTGAGTCCTCTTCTACACCAACTCCTTTCACTATGGAGAACATCCTCAGAGCCCTCCATCAGCAAAATAAGATGGTTGTAGCTCTTGAAAGGAAGCATCAGGAGCAGTATGACACTCTATATGCACAGAACATCCAAATTCTGAGCGGCCAGCGCAACGTCAATGAGAAGCTGGACGAGGTTTTCTCTGAGCTTAACGCCTTACGGATGGACGTAACCGCTCTTGGCTCGCATGATACCGACCTTGAGGCCACACCTACCCGACGCTCCCGCAACCGAAGCAGAGGCAGAGGCCACCAGTATTTTTCTTTTGTTTTTGTTTCTGTATTTCATGCTTTTCCCTTTTCCGTACCGTTTTTCTATTTGTAATCCTTCCTACCATATATCATGACATTGAGACAATGTCTGATATAGTGTGGGAGAGGCACTATGCTTTTCATTCCGCATTTTCTTCATGCTGCAAATTCTAGTAATTTTATGGTAATTTTATGATATTTTCAAGTTTTTCAAGTTTTCCCCGTATTATAAGCCATACCAAAAAATTCTCTGTTCGCATAGCTCGACATACCTACCTTAAACGGAAACCTAGTTAGGAAGACGATAACGAGTAAACAAAATCAATACGATTATGACACCGCAAACATCCTGCTTATGCAACCCGTCTAAACAAAACGTTATACGTACCCCTCGATTTTTAAGTTCTGAAGTAACCCCTAGTAGTTTATACTAGCAGTCAGCACCGTCTGGACACAAACCACGTGGGGAGCCGATGAATATAAGTGTTTGATGCCTAATCAATGAAACACCCTTCTCATCTCGATGCTAAGCAAAGAAAATCTTGTGCCAAAAGACAAAGATCGCATACGAGACATAAGTATAAGAGAAGAAGTCCATTGTTGGTTGGTTCAGAGGTATATGGTTCTGAACTTGGTAGGGCGTGCTACGGCTCGATCCCTCGCAACCTCCGATTTGGAAAAATATAGGGTAACCACATCCGTGTACCAGACCCCGTGACAAAAATAGGATCAAAGTCACTAACCGGCTACTCCACTACGTGCGTGCAAAGACAAAGGGCTTAATGTGATTGCACTAGAACGAAACCGGGCGAAAAAGCACAAGAGGATCGAGGTTGAAATGTGACGAAACGATTAAGCGGTTTGTTAAAGTGGAAATATGCGACTCAATTGTGTCATTGGCATATCACTGACGTTTTACTCAAGTACCGGCCGACTGACGATTGGTTTTATGTGTTTTATCTCGAAAATCAAAGGTATGTCGTGCATGTGCGCCTGACGAACACTTGTCCGATTTTTACGACTATTTGCTTGAGGACAAGCAAAGGTTTAAGTATGGGAGGATTTGATAACGAGAAATCGTATCATATATTTACTATGAAATTAAACCGCTTTATATCGTATTGACCCGATTAACTCCCGAATACTCCGAGTTTTGTATGATTTTATGCAGGTACAACATATCTTAGCTCAAACTAGAAAGAAACATGAAATGTACAAGATTGCGGCCAAGACCAGAAGAGAAAAGATAAATCTGTCAAAAATCCAAGATTTGCTGCTATTACGGTCGTCACACCCTTGCCACGACCGTAAGACACTTCAGAAGCGTGTTACGACCGTCATGCATTGGCCACGACCGTAACGCGCTATTTCATGGAATCTGCACGTAACACACCAGCCACGACCATAACAAGCATTATATTAGTTATTTTGAACGTGCAGTACGTGGTCAAGTAACGAATGCATGTGTGCCTCATTTTTCTCCAACGACCAAGACCACCTTCTCCTTATTTTTCTCAACAAGCCAAGAATCTAGCAACGTGAAATATAATTCCAACTGTATTCATTCTCTATAAATAGCTTGGACTTCAAAGAAGAAAATAGAGAGTTCAGTTCAGAAAATTCTTGCGGAAGCTCTGCCGATTTAAAACCCGATTCTATTTTCCGATTTTATTTTGTTCTTGATTATTCCCTTTCCTTTCAGAACCTTTAATAGCATTTCCAACATCAGGAAATTGCTATTGTAGTTAGGATTTCTTTCAAGCCTCAGCATTTTGTTTATTTAATTTTCATTCCAACATCCCGATCTTACTGGCTTGTGGAAGAAGGATCTAGGATATTATTGCTTTTCAAGTTTTTTTATCGTATTCAATATAATTTCCATTTATTTATGTTAAATTTCTGTTCTTTATTTATAATGCATGTGTTATTGTTTTCTGATTTTATTTCCCGCATTTTAACTCCGAGCATTATGAGTAGCTAAATACCCGTAGTCAGGGTGTGATGAAATAACCGAATGAATTAATGTATTTCTAAGCTAAAGCCTTAATTAACTTAATTTATGGCCGTGACTTTTTTTATAATTAAAAATCAAGCTTTTTGTTACGAGAGTAAGGAAAGTAAAGTAGGGAGAAATCAAGACCACGAGAGTGTGAGGTTTTAACCGGATAGCTAAAGTTAGGCATTCGATTTAAATACAGCGAGAGCTCTTTAAAACGAATTAGATTTATTTAGTTTTCAAAAAGATGCTTTCTAAACACTTATGGGCTAGCGAGAGAAGACATTTGGCTTTAGGAGTATGATCCGAGGTAAGACCACGAGAGTGTGAATCGAGGGTTTTTAAACTGATAAGTACTACAGAACAATTTAAGTTAAATATTTTTATATGCTTAGGTACAATTTAATTCGCATAGGTTCAAAACATTACACTCCGACCACTTTAATATTATAATTCTTTTAATTGAATTTAGTTTCTCCTTTAGTTTTAAACTTCTAAAAACCAAACGTGACAATTTCCGCCTTAGCTAAACTAACTTGTTTCATAACACTAGAGTGATTACGAAGTCCCTGTGGGTTCGACATCTTTTTATTACTACCGCGATAGACTGTGCACTTGCAGTTAAGATACCGTTAGACACATTAGGTCAATCGTACATCAGAATGCATGCAAAAAGAAGAGAAAATAATGTAGGGAAAATAAAGTTATGCTCTCTTAGGCCCTACCCCAATGCCTACGTATCCTTTTTGAGGAATCAAAGTTACCATAGTTAGGTTCACATGTTTTGTTTGTTTTGTGTTTTTTATGGACAATGTTAATTCCGCCTTCTGCCACAACTCGACCTTTAAAGACTCACGTGTTGGCACAAAAGTAAGTTAATCATGTCCTTGCTGAAAATGGTTTTGAGTTACGCCCTCAAGGCAATATTCCAATTTTGATTGGTTTGTGTTTTGTTACCTTGAAAAAAGGTTTAAGTATGATTAGCATGTTTTATGATTTGCTAAGAAAAAGAAAGCTTTAGTTTTAAATGCTTATGAAAAAGGGAGAAAACAACAAAGGGAGACTAGCCTAGCAATATCCCTAAAGTTATCATCCAATGATGGCCCTACGTCAAGGATGAAAGGGAAATCTCTACCTAATGTTAGCATGCATGGCTCATATCCTAAGGTCTAACTTGCATCCTAAAGGAACAAGCACATCCTAAGGGAACATGGTATGTACAAGGATAAAACAAACAAGCTCGAAAGATCACACACATAAAATGGTAAAGAAAAGAAGTGAAATGCTTTAGCCAAGGGGAGCGTATCACCCAAGACAAACAAGCGGGAATAGGATGTAAAACAAAAATGTAACGTTCAAAGCCACTGAGCACCTAACCAAGATATAGAAGATCGAGGTAGGCGACTGAAGGAAATATGAACAACCACGGAGTATCAATATAGGTCAATGCGAACTCCTGACAAAGTATGGGGGTTTGATTGCAAAACCCATCCCCACTTGACGGACTCGATACACATGATCTTGGGAACGTGTTCGGAGCTCGAAACTTGCAAAAAGTGAGCATAGGAACGAGACGGACGAAAACTGGCGGGGGTGGATTGCTAACCCTTTCCACCTGCCTTCCCATGAGTACTTAGGAATGGTTGTCATACAATACCTAAAACCATTATCCCGCTATACAAGAATAAATGTAAACACACATGTGGAATAACTACTTCAAAGGTAGGATTTTAAACAAATACATATACCATACAAAAAGCATACAATGCGGAATTTCCCTACACGGGTCTTTAAACAAACCAGAGGGATTCCTGACATATATCAGTAACAGAGATCCCCTTTATACATCTCTACCCTACTTCTCATTACATCGGAAAGCAGTAAAACCCTACTTCTCATGATCTCAAGAAAAGTGGTAAAAAATACGATAAAGTGCAGAAATGAGGAATAAAATGAAGTTGCGATGATACCTAACAAAGAAGGTACATTGCCTCTTCAAAACCACGCAAGCGATAAGAAAACTCTATAGAATTTTCTTCGCACAAATGATCAGACGAATTAATCTCCAAGTATTCCACATTGCGAAAGTTACATCAACCGTCTATCACAAAATTTTAGCTAGAAAATGATTATCGAATATGAAAATAATAGAAAACTCGAATGAAAATTCTAAAGAGAGGTCCTAAAGAATTCTAAAATGTTCTAATATTTTGGTATCATTTTTATTATCAATTAAGAGAAAAATTAAACTAGAATAAAAATTGAAATAATAAAAAAAAGTTAGTAGAGTTAGGGGGTGTTAACTGGAATCTAGGGATATAGTGAAGCAAAATATTAGGGCGATAAGCCCATCAAATTGGTCCATAAGTTGTTTTTGTTCTATTACAATTCAAGCCTTCAAAAATCCTGTGGCATGGGCTTGGGCGGCTACAGTACGATCCAATAAGCTATCCCAATCCAAAAAAATTATTGAACAATGACAGAAAATTAAACAAAAAAAAAAAAGAGGTAAGGGAACGATGCATTAGGGTTGCGAACACGTGAGGATTCAACTTCACGAAATGCTCTTCTGTTTCTTGAAAAACGTTATCCATAATTCAGCTTCTTCTGCGACGAATTTCAATGATTCGTCATTGTCCATGCCTTTACTTCCGCTGTCTAATCTCATCATCTCGTTTCGATTCGCAGCGCCTTCGTCTCTTCACTTCATGAACTCATCTTCCACGGTTTGCAACGACGTGACAATGAATACTGGCGAGGGTTTAAAGGTAAGATCTCTACTTCCTTCTTCTTCCGCATATTTCTGATTCGATTCTTCCTCTACTCCGTTTCTCTGCTATGCTCTGCTACTATGAGCCACTATTGATGCGCGATAATGTTGTGTTGATGTCCAGAGAAGGATATGAAGGTGTGGTGTTATTGATGAAATCACGACGACAAGCAATTCAGCGATGTTGTTGAAGTTGATGTAGCGAGTTGAAGCTATCTGAAAATGATGAGGATGCAGAGAATTTACTGCTTGATGATGATGATTGGAGATGTTAATTTATGGAAGATGGTGAAGACCGTTGGGATGCCAAGATTGAAGATGTTGTGGAGATAATGAATGAATGTTCTGCAATTTAGAGCTTGAGGCCAGTTGATGCAGAGTGATGATGGTGATCAAGATTGAGACTGGTGCAAAGAGAAAGAGCTTTTTCTTGGTGAGTTTTTTGAAGTTTTGTTGTTATTTCTGGTGAAAAATGAATTGTGTACCCCCTCCTCTCTTTTATGTTGTCTGTTATATTTTGTTGTGGTTTTATGAAAACAGTTAGTTAGGAAGGTTAGAGGAAGTTGGAATCAATTAGCAGTTAGTTTTGGTTGAGGAGTTCTGTTAGAAGTTAATTAGAGGTTTGAAATTTTGTTTTCTGTTGAGGAGTTCTGTTAGAAGTTGTTGAGAACAGTTGCAGGCTGTGCAATCCTGGCCCTTGATTTGAGAAAATTGGTTAGACAATTGAGAGCTCAGATTAATCAGTTAGAAACTGTTACAATGTTAGTTTTGATTCGGTTAGAAACGATTGGGGTAAAAGTAAGTTATTCGGGTTTCTCTTGAAAATTTATGCTGAGCTATAATATTGATTTATGATTTAATTTTCTATCCTTTCTACAGTGAAGCACGGTTTCAAGGGCAGCCACTGATTTTCTATCCCGATATTTCTTTCGACTTTCTTTGATATGTTGAGCTGCTTTGGATCGTGGCAGCCAATTGAGTGTAGGGCTGATTTTCTTTGGACTGAAGTCATAATTTGGATTTTATGTAGGTTACAGTTTATACATGGCTGCACATAAAGGGCAAATGCATTGGTGAATGAAGGAAAATGAAGGCCTGATGTAAATTTGAAGAGTTTAAAAAATCAATGTAGTTTAAGACTTGGATAGATTTCATGGAACTTCTTGATGTAATATCCTTGTAATGTCAATGTAAATAATGATATTGCATTTGAATCTTGTAATAGCTTCGTACTTTGCCCTTGTAATTAACAGGTAACTTTGAATGTTTTTGAATGAAACTTCGTTTTAATTGGCTTGATGATGTGAAGTTAAAAAATGATCATGTGATGAAACTTGAAGTCTTCCTTGTAAAGAACCTTGAAGCTTATGGAAAAGGCCAAACATCCCAAGCAACTTTATCTTGACTTTTACGTCATGTAATTCAAATAACAATTTAAGTTTCTCTTGATGGAAGAAGGTCAATTGAAAACCCTAACTTGTAATGGTCAAAATCTTATCAAAAGATATCCTCCTTGTATGAAATGGTGATTCACCCCTGAATCAAAATCTTAGTGTGTCATGAATACCTTAACATCCCTTCAAAAAACCTGCATTTTACGCAATAATTGAAACCCTCTTGAATGCCGCAAAATTAAGGAAATAAACCTCAACTCCTAGGTACAATAAGACGATGAACTTGCTCAAAACCCTTGATGCTGAAGAGAAGACCTTATAATGACGGAGAAACAAAACCATGATGTAAGCGAACTCAGTTAAAACCCTAATCTCTGGCCTAGATAAATTTGGATGCAAAAACCTTGTAGCTTGATGACGTAGAAATCCATAATAGCTATGAACAGAAAACCCTAACTTCAAACCTTGACTATTGATGAAACATGTTAATTCAAGCTTGAATGAAGGTGAGAGCCTAAAAGCACAAAGAAACCTTGATTCATCAGTGTCCTTGGTCCCATGTCAAATTTTGTGGTCAATGAATGCATGATGTTGTTAAATGACCTAATGGAGGGTATATACAATGGTGAGAATGAGATGCATAATGCATAATCCAAGTAGAATTGAAAGGGTAAGACAAATTTGGGGTATTACAGAATGAATACTAATTGAAGTCTCCCTTGCATTCTCCTTCCTGACCTCGAACAACCAAGCAGAATACGAGGATCTCCTCGTCGGACTACGCCTGGCCGAGGACTTGGGTGCCGAGGAAGTAAAAGTCTTCACAGACTTTGTAAAACCCTTCTAAACCCAACGAATAATTCACGAATAATTTAATAAATAAATCAAAATAAAACACCAATGAGGGTGTCACATGCTTCATAAAACATCTTAAACAAAAACATCTTGATCTGTAACGCGGACTTTCAACAATCATCTCATTTATCCTTTTCAGAAAATCAGCACATATGCTTCAAAACACTACGCAACAGAAATCATAATCACAACATAACTTTATTTATAATATCTTTCAAATCATCATCAATTTACACCATCCATGGTCATGATATTCCAATAACTTAAAAGAACTAGAACTACTTATTTTATTCTGTCAATAAAAGGAACACAATATTCAAGTATAGTATTTTCCAACCCGACGTTACTTATTAAAGAAAGACACCTTCTATTCAACGAAACTAAATAAATACTCCATAAAGATGTCCTCGGCTTCTACGAACTATTCTCGATCACCTGCACGTTACTCACGTGGAGGCAACATTCAAGCAGAAAGGATGAGTAATCACAATCATTATAAAAGATATAAGGAAAAGATATAGTAGTTATAAACAACATCAATAATGAAATCTGTAAATCATCCTTTACCAAGTATTATACTCACACTTGTATATCATGATAACATATGGACATCTTCATCATAAATCATCGAAACACATTCTTCATTCATATAGCATGACATCAAATCAAGGCATTGCAATGCAATGCAACCTATAACAACTAAATGCATATGGTACCAATAGGGCATAAGCCCCCAACATAGTGTCAATTAGGCAACAACAGGGCATAAGCCCTCAACACAGTGCCTTTACAGGACAACAACAGGGCATAAGCCCTCACCAATGCATGTATTATCATCATGCAACATCACAACTATGCAACCACAAGGCATAAGCCCACTATATTTGCCAGTAAGGCCACCAACATTACTATCATCATACAACATACATCGTAGTATCAACAACTCATCATAGCAACATACATAATTAAAATACCAATAATTCATCATAGCAACATACATCATTAAAACACCAACAATTCATCATAACAACATATATATAATTAAAATACCAACAATTCATCATAACAATATACATCGTTAAAATACCAACAATTCATCATAGCAACATACATCATTAAAACTACCTCTTAAAGATCTAAGCCTATTTTAGCCTAGGTACTATACACATCCATCTCTTTACTCATTTTATTCCAACCACGTGTAGTTCATTGTCTTAGCTATCTAACGCTTCAAATGACACCTCAAACAGAGTTCTAAAACTCAAGTTATGGTATTTCTAAAAAAATCCTTTTGTTGTTCATCACCCGAGGCTCGCATGGAGACGTGGGAGTGACAACATAACCCTTCCTTTCTAGCCTCCATCTCTCGGAGACACTAACTCAATCGCCTGACGGCACACCTTTGCTCTTGTGTCTCCCAGTGATGTTTGGAACGATGGATTATAGTAGCATCCCTTTTTCCACCCATCCATCACGCCTAGGCTCTTCTGGAGGCGATCAAGCGACGCCTGCTTCGCCCAACGACACTTCTCCTCTCCTGGCGATGCACATCAGTCTGTAACTTCTTGTTGCGATTCTATACTTGTTTTGCCATAAATTCCATTACGATTCCATACCAAAACAGTCTAGATTTTCATAGTCTTAAACATAGAATCTTCATACAACAACAACTTATTCTAACACTCATTACCTACACCAAATCTTCATCATGAATCACATCACTTACGTTACAATAACATCATCAACAAATCACCACAATAAAACATCATAACCAACATCATGTTTATCATCAAAATAGCACATTCATAGTATATCAACATATAACAAATCAATCTTATAAACACATATCTATTGGAATCATGCATCAAAACACTCATATAATTGAGTCATAATATAGTTCATCATGCCAGATTCCTAACACTTCCAACGGCCCGTCAAATGGACTCCTGAAACTCAAGTTATGACGTTTTGAATATTTGCTACTACATCGCTTCTGCCCTCCATCGCTTCTGCGTCGCCCGGTGCCGCCTCTGCAGCACCCGGGGCCATGCACCAGACATCACTTCTCCTCTTGCGATTTTCTGCGGTTGGAGGCCTTCCAGAGCATCGAATTTGATTCTGTAAAAAGCCCCAGTTTCAGAATTCAAAATCCTATGATTATAGAAAATTTATAACAACATATAACACTTATATATGGACTTTAACAGGATACACTCATCAAATATTCATTCATTCATTTAACATATGATTTTTATCAATTTCCTCAATCTCTATCCCAGAATCACCATACAAAACACAATCTTACAATTATCTAAACCTTAGATCGATTATAATAACAATGATAAACACCCCTTACCTTAGAAATTTTTTCTAGAAATCAAATCCTCTTTGTACTCTATCGAAATTCCTATGCTCCTTTTTGCCTCTTTGTGCCCTAGCTCTGCCTCTGCCTCTTTCTCCCAAAACTATCATATAGAGTGAACGATCAAAATTCTCAAACCTTCCTTATACCATACTTAACCTTTGGACCCGTAATATTGGTCTTCCTATCATGTACTCACTTATTCTTTCCCCAATGACTACTTTGCCCTTATCATCTCTTAATATTAATATTATTCTATTTACTAATTAAAATAATTCCACTTAATTATTCTAATAATTCTAAATCATCCAAAAGTCCACTTAATCGCCTTAATTCTCACTACACCATACAAATCATCATATAACCATCATAATCATCATAATCATCAAAACATCACTATTTCATCACAATTACACCACGAATACACATTACAAATCATTACAAGGACTCACATAAAACACCAAAACATCGTATACAAAACACTTAAAATGACTCATATATTCACACTAAATTAATTAAATAACT